GCCCACACAGAGCCATAACCAAGAGGTTCAGACCTCAAACTTTTTGCTGTAAGCAGAATTTTCTGCAGCTAAGATTAAAATATATTATATTATCAGGTTCTGTATCTTTTTAAATATATCTCATCTTTCCATAACCAACTGGAAAACAGTCAACCAGCCATTGGGAAACAGCCAATGGAAAGATGTAAAGTGCCAGAGACATTTTCATCTAGAATTATTTGCTTAGTTGCAGCTTCTATAGACTGTATATGAAAGTGCATTAATTGTGCATTATTCCCAGTTGCCAGCAGGGGGCAACTCCTTCGGTTGTAAGAAAAGCATCAAATTGTATCACAGGTTATAAAGAGACGATCCTTCTGCTCACATGATCTATGCTTTCCTGATGGGTAACACACGACCGGCAAATAAGGCACAAGTAGCCTGTAATTACCTGTAATTTTGTTTACCAAGTCAGGTTTTTGCAGGAAACAATAAAATAATTACATTAAATTAAATTACATAATTTCAAATACTGGGTTATTTCATGATAAATATCTGGAAAAACAAACAAAATTTCACCATCTTACATCTTTTGTACCCTATACTTTCCTGCAAATTGTACATAAGTAGAGGGTACTTGCACCTTAGTCACTCCGTAACATGACCCATGCCCCAGAAAGTACAGGGTACTTACAGTGTACTTGTTTCATTGTTTCCTGCAAAAACCTGACTTGTTGCCTGCAAATTGCATGTAAGTACAGGGTACTTGTGCCTTATTCGCGGTTATAAAGTGTTACTGTAAAAATATTTTGTTTTGGTAAGTGGTTGAAAATAGGAACCTTGTTATCATTTAATTGTTTAACTATTACTTAATTACTTTTTTTTTTTAGGACAAAAGGCTGGGAGCCTTCAAAAAAAATATAATACCCAACACTTGGTTGTCCCAGCATCTCTGCATCGATGTGTAGCATGCATTTCTCCTGTTCTTTGATGCCTTTAGTTAGCCCAGAACTTTGACAGATCAAGAAAAGGGTAACAAAATGTGATGCACTTATATACAAAGCAAGATTGCAGGTGGTACTTCAGGCTTTTCTCCCCATTGCTAGTCTTTGGGCTAAACTAAGCTAACAGCTTCATATTTGCTGTGCACAATCACCAAAATGTATTTCTTGTGGACTTCAGGTGCACATTTATCTCAATACTGCAAAACAAAAAGAGTAATGTTAAAATCTGATTAAATCAGCAAGACCTACACATTTGTTAGCAAGTCTTCTGTACAGTGCTGTCGTTCTATGAGCCTCTGCAACAAAAGACAGATCTCTGGCACGATCCCCAGACGTGCCATCGGCTTTACTGGCAGCGGAGTGTAATGTGTTTTGACTCCCTGCATTTACTCATAACTCAGTGTCATTCGTTACTGAACAGCTTAAAATGCAAGTAGGCAGGGACAAGATGAGGCATCTCTTGAAATACTGAGAAGTTGGCAGTTTTAGTCTGAAAACAGAGAAACTTAATTTCGAAAGACAAAAACCTCAGCACCTTGTGAATTAAATGTCCGGGTTATTTATCAGGAAATCGGGCACATCCTCAGCCAAGCCTTTGTCCTATAGGGGACATTAAACAGGTTTTCTGTTCCAGAGTGCAAAGTTGTACATTGTCAAGTGTTAGACAGGATCATAATGTCTACAACAGCCCGTATTAGTATATGATAAATTTCTGCCAAATAAAGGAGTGTTGCTGCAGTCACTTTGCGAGGTAGCTTTACCATTCAGCGGTGGTTGGCAACTGAATTTTCAACTAGAAAGAAATCATTTTCTTAGCTTATTAGCTTAATTACAATTTTTACCACCACTGCCACAAGAGAAGAACAGAGCAAAAACACCTCAGATCACACAGACAAGCACAAAGGACATTAAAAAATTTCATTAAGGAAATAACTGCCTGCAGTGTGACAATATTGTTGCGTGCACCATTCCCACCGCCTCGAAACAACCTGTAGTGATGCAAGCTCGTATTTAACGCACATGATCACGAGGCAGAGTCAACAAGGAAAAGTCTCACAAACAGTCAGAAACCATAACGAAACATCAGAAGAAGATAACAGCAGGAGCATCGTTTCTGCTGTTACCCTTTTATGCAGCGTCACTGAAACATTTCTGGGCCTCAAGTCTGAACCACTGATGTCAATAGTGGAGGAGCTACTGTAAGACAATCACTGATGATTCATGATGCAGCCTACAGATTGTTTGTGCCATCAGTATTTGCTTGTTATGATTACCCAAACTTTTGATTTGAAAGAAGTCCAGTTCTTATTCTGTCCAAATGTAGCCTCGATCACCACACCAGTACCACCAGCAGCAGTATCAGTGGAAAATTCAGTTCATTTCAATTCACTTTACTTCACTTCAGTTCATTCATTTTATTCAATTCATTGTATCGGGTGCAAAATCACAACAACAGTCACCTCAAGATACTATACTGCAAAGCAAATGTCCTGAAATGATAAAAAGAAAAAAGCGAGGCAACAGTGGGATGGAAAAACTCCCATTTACCAGGAAGAAAGCTCCAGCAGAGCCAGGCTCAGGGGGAAGCATCTATCTGCTGACCGGTTGGGGGTGAGAGGAGGAAGACAGGACAAAAGACACACTATGGAAGAGAGTCAGAGATTAGTAATAACTAATGATGGGAGGGTTCTGGGTCACCTGATCCGGCCCTAACTATAAACTTAACCAAAAAGTATATTTTCAAGCCTAATCTTAAAAGCAGAGCAGGTTTCTGAATCCAAACAACGAGCTTGTTGTACAGACGAGGCCCCTGAAAGCTGAAGGCTCTGCCTCCCATCTACTTTTAAATACTTTAGGATTTACAAGTAAGACCATTGTCTGAGAATGAAGAGCTCTGTTGGGGTGATATGGTACTACAATGTCATTAGGATAAGATGGGGCCTGATTATTCAAAACCTTGTATGTGAGGATCAGGATTTTAAATTTGATATGGGTTTAGCAACAAAGAGAAGACAGTGCGGGAGAAATATGCTCTCTCTTTCTAATCCCAGTCGGTACTCTCACTGCAGCTTTTAAAAACAACCTGCAAGAAATGAATTACAAACAAAGTGCAAGAGTTCTTGCCATTGCTTTTGCTTATACTTAGCATTAAAATAAAGGAGATGTGCATTTATTATGTAAAAGGAATCTTTGACATCGAAAGCATCTCAGGACAATCATAAATCTTCACATCATACACTGCTCACAAATCAATTTTCAATGCAACATTTTTGATAGCATAAAGTAATCCCTGAGCTTTTTACTCTCATTTGTCTACGTCTGTCTGCTGATGGTCAGTATCTATCTGACTTGGACAGTAATGGAGCAGTTTGAAAGGATTTCTACAGAAATCATCTCAGATGTGAAAAATCAAGTGATCTGCTCATTAGAAATGGCACAAAGAGTGACAGATGGTTTGATCTTTTCTCTCCTAACTGTGACCTTTACCACCAGCTTCCAATCTCCTCAAAGAAATTAGCCCTTTGTAGTGTGTTTTATTGCTTGTTGGTTACTGATTAACATCAGTAAACAATCCGACAGGCAAGATGGTCTTCTTACACATATTTTAGGGAATCAAAGGGGAGTGAATCAGTAAAGCCAGAGTGCTGGTGCCAAAAAAGTAATTGCTGGGATTAGACCTGTTATAAATTAGCTGTTGACCTATAATCTGTCAAAAATGGGTCAAATAAACCTCTCATGTAGGATATCAGGTTATTTTGAGCCAGAAAGGGCATCCCCGTGACAAGGTAGAAGCTGTTATTGGTTTTTGGCAAAGTGACAGTTATATTTAGTTTATTTAGCCATTCAAAAAGTATCACTTGCGTTAAAAATGTGTTTTTCAAGAGAGACTGAGGCAAGATGACAGCAGAGATTGAAAAAAATACATTACAGTTCAATAAAGACATTTTAAGTACCAAAAAAATGCAGTAACAGGGAGTCACAAAGATAAGTGCAGAATATGCCATTTCTTTATTCTATACATAACCCATTCATAAATTAGTAAATTCTTTTTACTAGTATAAGCAAAAATAATAGCCATTAAAAAATATATAAAAACATCGGGAATCACTTTTTGGCACAACATCGTTTTAACCCGTCGCTGTCTTTGGTGCTGATCTTCCAATCTGCGACTCTGCGCTCACTTCCACCCTTCTTTGTCACTCACCTTCTCACTGTTGCGCGCAAAAACACGCAGCTTGATTCCCACGTCTCCCTCTCTCTCGCTGTGTCTCGCTGTCTCTGCCACGCACGCGCACACACGCCCCCTTTAAAATATTCATTTGCGACACCTCAAAGGCCCCCAGTTTTTTTTTTTTCCTTCTTTGTGGTTTCCACCTGTATCTTTCAGCGAAAACACTGGCGCGGACAAACACAAGCAAAACCACATTACAACTATATATATATATATACATATATATTCCAACTTTATTGTATTAAAGCAAGAGACTCTGAGATGGAACATCTGTTCGTTAACATGTGGAGAAAAAACAAGGCTCTGCTTTCCTCCCGATCACACATGAATCACAGGAAAGCGGTGCCCGGCTTTAGAAGCTGTCAGTCTCATTGAAGGGTTTTCATTTCTTTTGCTTGAGAAAAAATCAACCACGAGCCCGCCGATGTTGTATGTGCGTACGCTCAGACATGGCCTGAGCAAACTGTGAAACCCCCACGGCTTTAAAAATCTGCACGGGGGACCCACCGAACAGTCGCACCAGGCAGGTTCGAGTCTCTGCTGCGCTCTCTTGTGCGACAAGGTTAAACTGGCTCCCAGTTTTTTGTTTTGGTTTGTTTTTTTGTAGTTTTTTTTTTCTGCGCCTCAGTTGAGGAATTCCCCGAGTTTGGAGAGACGAGTCCCGCAGGGAGACGGCAGATTAAACCCAAGAGTCGTCGGGGGGGGGGGGGGGGGTTCGCTGCTTTGCCTGGAATTCATCAGAGGACATCATTGTGAAGAGGCTCGTGGCGGGGTCGTGCGGGAATTGGAAGTGGAAATGGTGTGAGCACACACCGGGGGGTTATCAGGAGCTGCTCCGTCATGTCTTGTAGTCCGTCTTTACTCCTGTTAAAGGTTTCGGATATTTCCCGGTGCGGCGGCACTGATCACAGCCTTTAACCTCTCCAGTTTTCAGGGCGCAGCGCGTTAGTCTGCACTGATGGAAGCGTTACTGCTCTCCTGCTCAACTTGGACACGATCTGGGGGCCCTTCATCAGTGTTGATCTCTCCGTTTCGGTGATCACAGGAGCGGGGGAAAATAAGACTGGGCAAGAGAGAAGAGATGAAAGACGAGTGGGTTTCCTGAGGCGCACCGTCGAATCCGGTTTTGATGCGCGCAGGTGTCCATTTCATCAGTAAATTTCCTCTCCCTCTTGCAGTGATTAAACTATCGTATACATTTTTTCTTGTTTTTCGGTGGCAACCAGAAAACACAAACCGGATAAGAAGACATTCAGCTGGAGTGCTTTGAACACAGGAATGCTCCTGGACGGATATTTGATTTGGGTTTGAGGGCAATCGCTCGGAGTTACAGGGAGCAAAGAGGAGGGGGGAAAGAATTTGGAAAGTAGAGCTTTGATTTACGGATTACTGGGCTTTTTCTTCTCCTGAACAACTGTAGACACGCTCTTTGATGTCTGAAAAGGTAAGAGAAAGCCACATGTGTTCTCCCTATTAACTGTTGCTTTTATTCTGTGTTATCAGAAGAATTATCACGACAAAAAAATGACCGGAATGCAATCAGATGTGGCAGATAAAAGAAAACTGATCTCAACGTGAAGACGAAAGGATTGCGTCTTTGCACAGATACCTTAATCTATCACTGATTTCATTCAATGTGAGGCTTTCAGCTTCAGATTTGTTTGTTGAGAAATGAAAAAAGGGGGAGAAAGAACTTTAAAGTAAACATGATAATCATCGAAAAATCCTGACAGTTTGTGTCCAAACACACAGAAACAGCACAGATTATTACGATTACGTTCACTGTGATAGCAGTTAATGATTTAACGAGGTTATTAACTATGCTGTGCGCACGGTGTTTAAAATATATGGTCCATGTCATGTGACTGCTTATCGGAATAAATTAAAGACGCTCCACCATGACGATGGTCGGTCTAAAGCGCAGTGGATAATAGATAATGAATTTCTATTTTCTGCACATGGCTCCGGGTCAACAGGTCCGGGTGAGCCCCACCGCCCCCGTCTCTCTCTCTGTCTCTCTGAGCACGTGAACTTCTGTAAAGAAAGTCAAATTAAAAGAAAGAAAACCAAAGAGAGTGCTTCATCTGCATCAGCGTTACAGTGTCAAAAGTGTTTGCAAGCACAATGATCCTTTTCCTTAATTGACTTATATGGAGAAGGATTGTCAAACAGGCAACAGGGGGCACTCTTTCAACTGCTTTCAAGCATCCTGTTGCCTTTTTAACTAGATGAGGTTTGCTGCTGCATGTCAGACATGATATCATGAAGAAGATTCACTGCAGTCTTTTTTTTTTTCAAAAAATAGAAGAAAAAGAAAAAAGAAACAAAAAGTAAATATGCTTGAGGAGGCTGAGAATTAAAACCAAAGGATGGTATTTCATTTCATCACCAATACTGAGAAGAAGGGAAATGGATGCAACTGACGTGACTTCCTGTCTCCCATGGGGGAACTTTTCATTTATACTTTTTATTTTTTATTTTTTTTTCAATTATTTGTTTATTTATTTGCCTAAACTCGCGATCTTCCTTCCCTTTGACGTGGTTGGCCGTGGTTTTGCGGCCTGTAAGGCAGAGGATTAGGCTTGTGACAACAAAGCTTTTTAGTGCAATCCTCCAGAGAAATGTGCAACTGGTGGGAGAAGCATTAATGCTTTCATCTTACCACTTCTGTGATGGCCTCCGAGCACAAGCGTTCAGATTTCCAACTGTCTCAGCTGAGCTGCTTGGCAGTAACTGCACTGTATCCTGTGTATTGACCAGTTGTGAATTTGTTGAATCATGTTTGAGCTAAAGGACCGCTGACGCAGATTAAAACACCTACTGGTTTGGACAAGAACTCAAAAATATGATATTTCATTTATTCATATACAGGCTCTTTCTTGGTGCAGTATATCAGTCTGTTCATTGGGCATTTTGAGGATAGGCTGTATCAGTCATCAGCTCTAATTAAATGATAGTCACGATTCAGTGGGCATTACCTATTTATCTTAACCTTCTTGGCCAGTGGACAGAATAAAACCAGTGTCCTTGCATTTGCTTTGTTGGCACAGACACTGTTAGGCTCCTTTATTTCTAAAAGATGTTGAATGTTTTGTGTGGAGTTTGGAATGTGGACCCAAATGCAGATAATGAAGCATACAGAAGTGCCGTCCTAATGGTGAAGTAACACAAAACTCTGAGAAATAAACAAAAAAAACACAAGAAGCCTGGGAATGAACAAAGGACAAAAGGAAAATAGAAGTTACACACAGGTGAAGAGAATCAGAGTAAAGGAAGGAAGTAAAACTAATGCAAGACCTGAAAAAATGATAAAGGTCAGGTGCCATCCGTCCATCCATACCACTCGTCCAATTCACAGAAATCCCAGTGGCCATAGAACAAAAGGTAACCCCAGACAGGCACCAGGGTTACCAAAGACACAGACCACTATTCACATTTACTGCCAATTTACAATCACCAATTAAATGCACATGCTTGTCTTTGGGCTGTGGAGGGAAGTTGGAGTACCCAAAGACAAAACATTCAGGACCAGAGACAACATGCAAACTTTACACAGAAAAGCTGCAGCAAGCTGACAGGGTCCAACCAAAAATGACAAAAGCTACACGCAAGACAAGGTTTATTTGATGCAACCGTGAGGGTAGAAGCGGATGTTACAAGGTAGAGCTAACGCAGGCTGGAAAACACTGGGGTCATTATGACTTGAGGCGACTTTTGTTGTGATTTGGCGCTATATAAATAAAATTGAATTGAATTGTAATATTAAAAACTAAACAGAAAACAAGCTAAATATCACCAGAAACAAACAACAAGAAAGAATAAAAAACAAGAACAAAACAAACAGAAATCCCAAACTCAGCAGAACAAGGAGGACCTGCACCAGGATGATTGTATGCCGATGATCAGATACTTTTTCCACGCATAGCTTACCCTTACTTATTGTACTACTACACTGGTTTTGCGTTTAGGTAAATCCCACACAAATAGTGTTACTTCTTTGGCTTTTTAACATCATAAAACATACAAGTTGGTCCGAGTACTGTTTCATGTTTGTCCAATGCTCCTCTGCCAATATAATTCACCTCTCCTTGAGTACACAAAGCAGCGGCTGGTTTTCAACCTGAGCAAAACACAGATCATATATCCCCCTTTCTTCTTCTGCGAATGAGAAAAACCAGGCCAGTGATTGCAGAGAGCGGTGTGGCCCAATCAGTGTCTACATGTTTTTGTGGAAATTGTTCAGCCGTCTACACCATACTCAATTTAAAATCACATTTACTGTTTGTTCTGAGGGGATGATGACTAACAGCAGCGGGTACCAATGCCAACGTGCGGCAAGTGAAGTTTCAGCCCTCTAATGTGAGGTCAAAATGTAATAGAGAGGAAATGGAATGAGGCCAAAAGTTGACACTGAACCCAAACCCGTGTTACAGTTTAAAGGCTGAATACCTTAAAGGACTCTGCACTGGGGACACTGGGGTTAACAAGAATGTATTCATCCAAATCCATTTTTCTTTTTCTATTTCATAGTGTGTGTGCTTTTGTGCATACAAACCTGCCAAAGTGCGTTGTAGAAGGTCCAATTTTAAATTTCACTTGCAGTGAACTGAAATTTTCAGGCTTTTCTTTTCAATTTTTGCACGTGTGAACAATGGAAACTAGATCGCATCTGAATTTCAATATCTTTGACTCCTGTGTGTCATGTCTGTGCTTGTTTTCCAAGTATTTGTTACAGTGCAGTAAAAATGAATTACCATACCATTTCAGACACATGTTCTGGAAATCACAAGCGTCTGTATTTAAGAATAAAGAGGCTTGGTTTATAAACATGAGCAAACCCTCATTTCAGTGCTCCACATGGGACATACGTGGTTTTAATGTCTGAATGGCATGGCTGCTGAGGGATACGCAAAGCACTCAGAACAGTTTAACACATTTTTGGGGACAATACTACTCACTGATATTTCCAATAACTTAGACTAAGTATTGTGCCACTCACTAAAAATGGCTTTTTTGTTGCCATGAGACAAGTGAGTCACTGGTTGTCATATATTGTTGACGTTTTGCATATTGCTTAGCTACATATTACAAAAAGGTGCTTTTTTAAGCTTTTAGTTTGTTTTTCTCAAACACTGTTTAACTATAAGGGAAACAGATTAAACATTTTAGAGGGGTAAAACAAATATGATGGCCATTCAGACACAGCAACTGGGCTGCAGCAGGAACAACACGACCTCTCACATACTGTTAGTCATGGAGGACTAACAGTATGTTTAATGCACAGAGAGACTCGCGGGTTACAATATCACTTTTTAAATATAGAGTGGAAACACATGAGGGAACCATATCAAACAGATTCAGACGTTCACATCCTCAATACGATCAGTGAATCCAGTGAATCAGTTTGGTCACACACTCACTGGCAATGATGGTGATGTTGAGAATGTCAGAACCATTAGCTAGGCCTAGTTAATAGCTCCAGTTGTGTATTTGACCCACAGTGCAGAGCTTGGTATTACCTCTGAGTAAAGGAGACGGGTGCTGCTTTGGACTCGTGTTGAAGGGCTGTGTTATAGCAGTGGTTAGTTCTGTGTCTCGGTTTACTTTGTTTTGGGGCTTTTTGGCATTTGTAGAACAACCGTGTTCATGAACGTCGTCTTCTTGAGCTGGTCCATTTTTATGTAAAAAGAAGCACAAGAAGATTCAATTTAATTTAATTCAATTTGTATATTTTTTTCCATATTACAACAGCAGTTGCCTTCAGGTGATTTATACTGTAAAGACCCTTCAGTAATTGAAGGAAATCCCCAGGAATCAAACCACCTATTTTGAGCCTTTGGTGAGAGTGGGAAAGAAAAACTTCCTTTTAAAAGGAAGAAACCTGCAGCAGCCATGACCGGTTGGGGGTGAGTGGAGGAAGATAGGATGGAAGACACATTGTGGAAGAAGAAGAACTGATTTACTGTTAATGTCATTAGTCACAAAGCAACTGGCTGTAAAAGGCAGGGGGAAGAAAAGAACACGGGCAAAATACTCTCTTTATTAATGTTTTATAATACAAATGTGTAGGCTCAGGATAACTCTATAGCCTCGTGATGAGGGTACATACCACGAGGGCACAAATGCCATCAAGAGCGTGCCCAGTTCAATTTTGGTCTGGCCAGCACTTTATTGCATGTCACTCCCCTGATCTTTCGGTCATATCACCTGTCTGTCCCTGTAGCTACTGTCTTAAAAAAGGGCAATGCAAAAGTAACCGTTTGAGAAAATATTTAAAACCCAACATACCTACAATAACCTAGACTGAATGCAAATGCACTTTTAATTAAAAAAAACATTCATTTAACTGTTCTTCCTTAATGATTGGTTTTAAATCATACAGACAACTTAAATGTTTAAATATAATACAAAATGCTGTATTCAAAGTGAAAAGGCAGCACAATA